TTAGGTCAACAACATGTTTATATGGTGGATCATGAATCTCAAAGCCAAGATCACCATTAAACTTTACCTCACAATTATCTGCAATTTCAGCATTTTTTCTAAGAATATCCATAGCCATTGGTGCTACATCAGTAATCCATTTTTCTGAAAATTCTCTCATGTGATTCATTCTTTCCATAACTTTGACTCTTATTTCCTCTAGCATAGTGATTATTGATTTGAACCTAGCACCTAAAATCCAACTGTTGAAAGTCTCACACATGTTGTTCTCAACCACATCACACTTGCTATGTTCTTTAAAATATGCCTTACACCATGCTTCTTTGTTATACTTTAACAAAGCTTCTACAATGCCTACTCCTAACTCACTCAAGTCATCAAGTTTGGACTGTAAAAGTACCTCAAATGATGCCCTGGCAACCTGCCAGAATTTTCTTCTCCTTTCTTCACCCCTCCAGTCTTTCTTCCAGTTTGCCCATATATGCCTAGCACACCATCTAATTTCAGCATTTGGCAATACATCAATAAGTGCAAGATGAAGACCCTGTCAAATAAAGAACATTTGACATATAACAATGTTAAATATTAATTACTCCAAAAATGAAGAAATAAATTTAACAAATAATATAGTAATACCTTTTGCATATCAGACATCACTGTTAGTCCTTCACCTTCTGTAAGCTCCAAATCATGTTTGATGCACTTGAGAAATCAAGACCATGTGTCCTTGGTTTCTTTATCAACTACTGCCCATGCTATAGGGTACATCTGATTATTTCCATCTTTGGAAATGCAAGATAACAATTCACCTTTACATACACTTTTAAGAAATGCACCATCTAAACCAATAATCCTTCTACACCCTTCTTTCCATCCAATTTTTAAGGAACCAAGACAAATATAGATGCTCATAAACACCTCTTTTCCTGGAATTGTGTTCTTGGATGTCCTAATAGATACAGTAGTTTCAGGATTTGTGGTCTTTAATTGCTCAGCATAATCATACAACCTAGCAAACTCCTCTCTGAAATCTCCCATATGTTCATTCATAACTCTCAGTTTTGCCTTTCTACAACTTGTCTTACTAACATACAAACCATATTGCTTTTGTATCAAAAACTGAATCTGATGTAGTTTGATGGTAGGCTCACTCATAATCCTCTCCTTGTAATGTTTACTAATCCAAATGGGGGTACACAGTTTGTTTCTTGTTCTTTTAAAACACTTATGGACAGGAAAATATGTTTTAACACTGAAATTTCCAGTGTTACCATCAATACTTCCAAGAATATGCCAAGGACAACCTTTTTTATTACACTTTGCCCTTATCCTTTCCTTCTCATTAGGTTTCAACTTAATATTAACACCCTTCTGAATAGAGTAAGTTTGCAGTGCCTCCCTGAACTCTATGTGATTCAAAAATACCATATACAGTTGAAATAAAACCTTTTTAGCAGTTGGATCAAAGTAGATCTTTGTACTTTCCTTCCTAGGTGCTGGATCTACCACTTCATCATTCTCAACAGGATCCCCTTCATCTTCACTAATGTCACTACCAGGATCTGAGCTATCAAAATAAGGGTCATCACCACCCAAATTGCCTTCAAATCTCCTCCTCTTCTCCTTATTAATGTCTTCAAAACCAGCATCTATACCTACAGGACCAGATGGTATCTCATCTAGATTTACTCTAGCAGTCTTTTCTTTAACTTGTTCTTGAATATTAGACTGCCTAGCTTGAAGCAACTCCTCATCCAAATCACTCAAATCA